TTAAGGCCAGGCTGGAATGTTTGGGAGCTGCCGGGGTGAGTGAAGGAAATTGTTCTTGCTTTAAGCTGCACTTGAGTGTCATGCTTTCCTGGATAGCACAAAATTCAGTTGGATTTAGCCCGTTTTGTTTTTGCATTTCTGCAGGCAGGGCTGACTCAGTAACCAACTCTCGTCTGCAGCAGCTGCCGTCGGGAAAGTTGTGGGGCTTCTTCCAGATCGAGGCCACCACATTCCGGCTCCGTAGCCCACCAGGCTGGATCCAGGAAACGCAGGCCCTGGCTCAGCCCAGCCAGTGGTTTTTGGTAGGTGAGCTCATCCTTTGTCCTTTATACACATTTGTGTATAAATTTGGGGGAGATTATGTGTTTGGAGAGGGTCTAATGTCCCCATAGAGGATTTTACTTCAGGTTTTCCTGTAATTGGGTATGTTGGGAGAAATGTATTTCCTGCGTGGGTTAATGCTCTCAAAATACCTGGAACAATATTTAGAGGAAAAAATCTTGCTGGGAAGTGCTGCAAAAGGGGAGCAAGGAGGTTGCCACAAGGAAAATGCTCTTCTGCAAGCCTGGGTGTGCTGAGCCTGGGGGCCGCTCTACCTTAATCCCTTCCTTCGTCCCCCGTGGTGCAGGGCTGCKCTCTCCGGTGTCGCTGCCGTCTCCAGGTTTCTGGGATGTGAATGGTTGTGTTGGGATGCACGGGGAGCAGAGCTGGGGCCACCGCCAAACGCTACTGAGGGAAGCGCGAAGACAAAAGCAYCGGGGATTTGCAGTGTGACTCCTTGTCCGGTCCCATCCTCCCCTTTCACAAACACCAGTGAAAACTGTCTGGCTTCCCTGTTTCCCCTTGCCTTTCCCCATCCCAAACCCTTCTAAGCTGTTGTGTCGGGATTAGCTCTGGCCTTGCTACGTAGCACCCAAATCCTGTCTCCCTCGYGGGAATCTTTTTCAGAGTCTCCTTTAGAAGAGCGGTGCCTGGGGCAATGCAGGCTGCTTTTAGAATGATTTTTCTTCAGTCTGGCCTGCGATTCCCATTAGTAGCCTTTTCCTCTATATAATGCAGCTTTATTTTTTCTCAATTTAAAAAAAAAATTTAAAAGTTGCAATAGTGTGTTCTTGTCTCCCCATCTACCTATGCACTGCTGCTGCTGAGGACCTCTAATGTTAAAGTGGTCCCACTTTGCCGATTTTCCCTCAGCTTTTCCGTCAACGCTGGATGGAAGTGGAGGGGATGCCGGACGTCTGCGCATCCCGTGGGACGGGGAGGATGTGATGGGCTCCCCGAGGCGGCACTCAGAGCATCGAGGAGGAGGCGAGCAGGACTGCATGTGCGCGGAGACACGGTGCAGAAACGAGGCCGAGTCGTAGCCCTCTGCTTGGCATCCTGGTAGGACTCCCTCATCCACAATAAAGACTAGCCTAGTGCTGACAGAGGCAGCCAAAAGGCTGCACACGTCTGCCCAAGGACAGGGCAGCATCTCGTTCCTGCCTCTGGATAATTGGTTTCATTAGGAGCCACCTGGGCCAATGTTTTTTGTTGTTGTTGTTCCAGTTTCTTCAGAAAAGGATAAGGGAGGTCACTGAAAATGAGACTTCAATGTTGTTAAATTAGTGGTAGGCAGTGACAGATGCTATTTGGCATCCCGAGTCACCCTGGTCCTTCTTTAGGGATATTCCTGTCCCTGCAGTGCAGAGCTCTGGGCTGCCACTGGGCTGAGGAGGACAAGGARTTGCTGCAATCCATAGGGAGAGATGGGAGAAGATGGGATAAATAGGCTTGGGACAGCCTGGAGCTGGAGAACATGACGGGGCAGAGCAGAGAAGCCCGTCCRGTTGATTCTGATTTTTAATCTTAACTTCTTAGATAAGGAGTGAGATTAATGGTGGAATTTGGACTAATAGTGCMATGTAGCAGGCTGGCTGTGTGAAATACCCAGCCGCGTCGCTCCTAACGGAATTAAATCGGCTGCTGCACTTGGTTTCGTGCTGCTTCACCTGGCCTGGGTCAGGGAGAGTCGTGCTCTCGAGAGGATCTGGGCCACGGCGCTGGGTGTCCCTTGGTCCCTGTTGCAGCAGCTCTGCGAGGCGGCCGAGATGTCAGCTGCCTTCACAAAACGCATCATTTCCACCCTAGGTCTGCACAGAGGGACTGGGGTTGGTTCATAGAAACTCAATAAGCTCAGTTTATTGAAGAAATTACTTAATGTGTCAGCATCTCTCGGGCTTTCAAGGCTCCCTTTGAAAGGTGAGTGCAACTTCTTCCTTTATAATTTTTCTACTTGCTCTGGTTATTAATTTCCCTTCCCCCTTTATCTCATAATTCCCAGTATTTCCAGTGAAACCAGTAGGGGGGTGATGGTTTTTACTTTAGCTTCCCCCTGAGCAGAATATTCCTGTGCTGGTGTTTCCTGGTCTGGGTGCAATGGAAACCTGTCCGTGGGCTCCTGCTCAGTGGGGTCCTGCAGGCAGCTCATGCCAACCCCAGCCCTGGCAGAGGACAGCGCGTCTTTTAGGGACACATTGAAGCTAAAACTTGCTTTTTTCTCCCCATCCCAAGCGCAGGCTGCCTTCCTTGCAAGGTCACTTTCAACATCGCCACGAGCAGCGTTTTTCTTTGGGGCCAGCACGGAGCCTTGCTGTAAACAAGTTACCAAACGTGCGGTTACGTCCCATCTCCTTTCCCCTACATTCGAATGGGTTTCTGTGGCCCACACAAGAGGCATGAAAATCATCCCTGTGTTTTTCCACATCGTTTACGAATGTCCCTTTGGCCCTGGGTAACTTGGGCTCCAAGGCTGTTCTTTGCTGTGCAGTAAGAACCAGGCGCATATGGGTGATTTTGCTGAAAACTCTCCCAGTTTACAGCAAAAAGGAAAGAGGTTTTTTTTTTTTTTTTTTTGCCCAGACTTCTTGGGGAGGATTTCTGTGAATAGCAAGTGAATGAACCCATTTGGATTTTCCCAAAGATTTATACATCAAAGGGCTTCAAAATATATTTAAAACGTTTATTTAAACTCCAAGTTTTAACAAACTCTCTCAAGATAGAAGAAACGGACTGTGTGGAGTAGCTGTGTCGTTTATTCCTGGTATTGCTGTAGCACCTGGAGAGCCCTGTTGTGCTGGATGCCGTACAGAAACATGACGGAGATGGTCCCTGCCCACGGGAGCTTCCAGCCAGGCACTGTCCCGCTGCCAGACCCGCCACACGCTCCTTATACACATCTGCCCCCTGCTCTCCTGGGAAAAGCACCCAAACCTGCAAGGTGGGTCCCCCGCAAGAGAGAAGAGCCCAGGTAGGAGGGAAGTTCCAACTTTCCCTTCCCTGAGGCTCCCGTCTCGAACTGACCGGGYCTTCACGCGCCGGGGATGTGGCTGTGGCCGAGCCACATGGGCTTCCTGAGATCACTGCTGCTCCTCAGCGAGAGAGCTGCACTTCCCTTGTTCCCAGTGATAGAGGTGTTTGGATAAAAGGAAGCCTTTTTAGTGGTTTTGGTTTTTATTCTTTAAAAAAAAAAGGGGTTTTGTTTTTGTTTAGCCTTGTGATTTTTTTCTTGCCTTCTCATTTGTTACCTTCCCACAGTTGGTGCCATATAGAGCAAGGGGAAAGGATACGGTAAAAAGCAAACCTGACTTCACACATGCACGCTGCCAGTCGTCAAAGTATCAAAAACAAAGCTTGCAAGACCCCAAACTTGTATAAATGTGGAGAAAAAAAAAAAGGAATAGGACACTGACTAAACACATCAGGTCATATTGTCCTTCTGGGCAGGGTGGAAGAAACTCTACCAGTTTTTGAGCTTGTCTGCTGGGTCACTGTCCCATCCGTTTCCCCCTCCTCTCTCAAATTTATCTATGTATCTAGGATTTGCTTCCTCACAGAGAGGCAGTTCCGAGGAGGGATGAACTTAAACTGGCTCACACTAAAGTTATGAACATTATTAAGTCTTCTCTCAGGAGTGAGAGAAGAAGCCGAAGGATAATTTCCTCAGAGCTGCCTTTCCCCTTGTCCCTCCTGCAGACTCTGGAGCCGATGGGATCGGGTGAGTGAGAGGAAGGGGCGATCTCCCTGCCCACRCTTGCTTTTTCTTGTCAAAGGATAGGCCCTTTGCTCTCTGGCTTTGCAGCCCTCAGAAGAGCAAGGGAGCTCTCCTGTATTGTTTGCAGGGGTGTGGAGGGAATGGGGTGTGAGATGCAAACCCACAGCAAAGAAATCTCTTTGAAAATAGCAAACATGTAAGTCTGAGAAAGGGAGGAGAGAGAAAGGGAGAAAAAAGCTAAACTGAAATTCCCAGTGTGTGCTGGAACCTGGTTTTGGTTGAAGCCGTGTGGCTTGTGAGTAGTGCAGCAGAGCAACTGGCAATTTGGAACTGTGTTAGCAGAGAGGAAGGACAGCTCTTTCAACTGAGGTGCTTATGATTTCTTGCCTACCCTAACCCCCCAAAAATAAATAAATAAATATCCTGCAGCTGGGGGTCAGCGGAGCCGCTCAGCGGAGCTGTCTCCACAGCCGGGTGGAGGCGACGCTGCCCCTGTCCTGCAGCTCCCAGGGCCAGGGCAGAGAGCAGCGCTTGGAAAACAGCAGCCAGATACAAAGCGCGCTCTGCCCGCGAGTCAAGTTGGGTTTCTGATTACTTGGCTGTCAAGGGTTTATTATAAAGTTTCTTTTGAGGTGAGGCGGGAGGAAAAAAATGGGATGAGTGCCCCCCAGCTCAAGCTCAATATCCAGAATCTCTGTTAGAGCTGTCAGGGGAGCAGGGCTCTTTCCAAAAAGTCTCCCATCCATCAGCTCCAGCTCGGCACCCATCTCTGCAAGATGTTTGAGCTGCTGCCGAGCTCTTTGAGCCGCTATATAGCTCAGGAAATATCCTGTACACCGTAGAGGTGGGCCCAGATGCTGCCATTTGAGTCCCAACTACCCAGAAGTCTGGGGGAGCTTGGATGTGGACTCGTGTGACCCATCCGAGGGACAGGGTCAAGCAAGTACCATTTGGATGCGAAACCAAATCCAAATTCCCGCAGATTTTTGGCTGTCATTTGCCTGGGAGCCTCTATTCTATCTCTACTTCCACAAAAGAAAAAGAAACAAAATGAAAAACAGTAAAAGGTGCTTTTAAAATACCATGAGGAGAGAAACTGCCATGGAAATAAATAGCGAAAATAACAACGTTAACGTTTCTGGTGTCACAGCAACTCTGAAATTCAAGTAGTGTGCACGTGGCCTACAGCACTTTCTCACAGCCACCGCCGGCGCGGCCTGAGGTTCCGAGCTCAGGTTGTGTCCCGCCGCTCACCGGAACAGCCAACTCCTCCCTGGGGCTGGAATGGATGTGGAGAGAAGGGGAGAGGAAAGATGGATGCGGTCGGCGCTGAGGATCGGGGCTTTCGTGCGCGCACCCGGCGCCAGCGGGACCGAAACACACCCAAGTTCTCTCGTTTCTGGCCCTCCAGCTGGGGGGCGGCCCGGCCTCAGAGCTGGAAAGGGTATTGCTTCAAGTAGTCCCCCATCCGCCTGGGCAGAGGGAGCTGGTCCACGTCGGCCGTCGCCTTGTTAATCCGGAGCCGGCAGAGGTGCTGCAGGCTCGGGATGCTGTCCTTGCGGCCGAGCGGGCGGAGGAGTTTCAAGTGCACCGCGGCTGCCGCCAGCTCTTTCTGCATGGGAGGTAGAGGGGACGGAGGCGGGTAGGGAGCCTCGTTCTTGCTCTCCGTCGTGCAGGACGTGACGTAGTGCTGGATCAGGCTCACCACGTCCGGGAAAGCCAGGATGCGAGGTTTGGACAAGTAGTTCGAGTCCAGCCGGAACTTGCTGTCAGTGTATTCGATGCGCACGTTGGTGGGACCTCGGTTTGTCTTGACGGAGAGTGTGAACAGGTAGCTGGGATGGGTGCTGTCCCGCACCAGAAAGGTGCCCTCGGGCATCTTTTGGAGGTGCTGCTTGGCTTCGCTGGCTGTGATAGATCCCCAGTACCAACCTGGAAAAGCATCCCAGAAAGAACTTCTTAGGGAAAGAGTGTATCAAAGCATYGGCAGCCTTTTTAGGGGAGTCTTGAAGCCCTCTGAGTGCAGGACCAGGGCTTCATAAGACCTTCAGAAAAGAAGGCAACGTCAAGATCTAAGGGTTTTCCATCTATGTTCATCATTGCTCTGCTGGACTTGGGGTGGGGAGACTTTGGCAGCTACTGGAGTTTACAGAAAAAGAGGAGCCTTTCCCAATACTTTCCCCCGTTTCAGCTTCGAAAGACAAAGCGCTTGCACATCACACTCATATTAAGTTACTTTGTGATGCAAGGGCTGAGCTTGTGGAGACTGAAAATGCACGTTSCATCACCAGCGGGCAGCTGTGGCTGCGCTAGACCTGGCTTCCTATCTGCAGCGGGGTTTGGAGATCCCTGTTGGATGTAGATTGCGGAGCTGACTCCTGGTAGCCCTCAGCCCCAYGGTTTCACGCTGAGGGGCAGCTTGCGCCTTACCGGATTCTCGCAGGTAGGAGAAGGTTTTTGCGATGCAGAGGAGATCTTCCTCGGGGTCTCGCGTCTGAGGTGGCGTGCTCTCCGGGACGGGCGCTGCGAAGGCGGGCGCCGGCTCCTCCTGGAAGGCGGGCACCGGGAGAGGCTGCATGATCTGCTCCGACAAGTCCACGGCGATGCCCCTGAGCGACAGTCTCCTGACCTTCTCGTCCGCCAGCAAAGGATGAGGTCTGGAACAAAGAGCGTGCCGGGCTCAATGAAGGAGGTTGCAACGCCTGGTCAGCACGTGCTACACTGGTCTACCGTGTCATGTTGTGGAAACAGACCCCTGATATAATTATATTTCAGAGAGAGAGGCAAGGGGGAAACAATTACACAGCTAAAGGTAAGGGTTTCTCCCTTCAGAAACAGGGAGAAACAGGGAGAGACAAGCAGCTTGGAAAAGATGGGGCCGTCTTGCACTTTAGCTCAGCTGTAAGCCCAGCCTTTCCAAATATTGCCCTTTAGCAGGTTGTTTCTAAAGGAGCAAGGTTCATAATGATGTCCCAGCTTCACTTATGTCATTGCAGGGTTGCAGCGTTTCTTCCTCTGTCATGGATTAGTCACTGATAATAAGTGATAATTTGGAGCCGAATGGGCAATACCTCAGGTTTTGTCCTACCTGCCTTCTACTGAAGGTTGACCTGGCCTTAAATGTGCCTGCTAGGACAAAGGGGGAGCTGATCTTGTAGCAGAATAATGGGAATTCTTGTTTTAGCCGGCCCTTGGAAACCCTGGCGCTCAAGGGCACAGAGGACATCTCRGTGCAGCTGTAATCTCCTAGTACTCGCTGTGTGCGCAGTGATAAGAAGCTCTGCCCATACAGGGCTGCTGTGAACATTATTCCCTCGGTGTCTCAAGGAGAGCTTTAGTGGAGCCGTTTGGCATCCGAGGGCAAAGTTTCAGGTGGCCTGGGGCTCTGGGAGCCCCTTCTCTGTGACATGGAGCTCCCTAAAGCAAGGCAGGACCTTGGAAGCAAGGCAAGTCCTTGCTGAGCCAAGGTCTATGGCTCTGTTGTTTCTTTGCCTTTGCGTTTGTTTGTGACGTGCCCGTGTCCCGTGTCACATCCCCTACATCCCCTGGCTTGCTGGGGAGGTTCTTTCAGGCACCCAGAATAAGAGGAAGGAGTTTGCAGGGAAGGACAACATGGAACTGGCCGATGGTCAAAGCCCCATTGAGACTGATGGTGGTTACGGGGGGCAGCAGCCATCGGCAAAGCTGAATCTACCTAAAGACACTGGTGTAATTAATGCAGGTCAAAATGCCACCGTTGCCCAGGAATTTAGAAAAGAAGATTCTTTTGCCGTATGTCATCTATGGAAAGGAGGTGTCTCCTTGGCAAGCATGGCATTTGATCCCCATTTTTTCATTTCTATATTTTCTAGAAAGAGAAATRCCAGAGCGAGGATGCTGGTTTGTGCCACCCGAAGGCGGGTGTTAGACAAGACCACTGCCTGTGTGCTGAGGTGCAGATGACAGGGCCGGGTGTTAAATCCACGGGAGCAGCCCCTTACCATCCATAGCCCATCCTGTCATTAGGACTGTAGTCCAAATTCCAAATCTCTCTGAACTTTTCTTCTCCTGGAAATACATTTACCGCCTACTCTCTGGGGAGAAATCTTGAACATAAAGAAATCTTATCATGGAACTTTTTTATTTTATTTATCTGCTCTTGAGAGGAAATTTAAGAAATGGCCGAGACTGGGAAGGAWCAGGAGAGAGAGCAAAGCTATAGGAGAAAAGAAGCTCCTGTTTGGGGGCCAAATGCTGTGAAGTTCAGTCTGACACCCTCCATTCACCCAAAGACAGAGCAACTCCTTGAATTTTTAATTGTGCTTCTTTTCTAGAGCCCCCGTGGGTCTCAGGGAAGCAGAACCAGTGTGCTGGAGGAGCCCAGGTTTCCCACCACGCTCACCCTGCCCTGCTGCCTCCTGAAGCCAAGGGGAGCCCAAACCCATGATGGTTCTAGTGGAGGCTCCTCCATAAAACCTAGGCAAGGRCCATCCTTACACTCGAGCTGTTCTCCTTTTTACACCCGCTCTGAAGCCTTCTCTACCCCTGCAGAAAGAAGAGTGGGTGAAGCAGGAGAGGGGGATCAGCCGCTCGTGTAGGCCAGGAGGTGCCGGTGTCCCAGGCAGCTGCATAAGCAGGTTGGAGGAAAGAAGAGCAGCCACTGTGACCAGAGAGCAGCTCCAGGCACGGAAAGAGGAGGAGGTAGGTGCTGAATGTGGCGTTTATGGAGGTGAGGATGGTCAGAAGCAAAGACTGGGAGCAAGACGCAAATCGGGAGTTTGCTGGGCTGAGGGTGCATTGGAGAGAAAGGTTGACCTTCCAAAGCCAGCCCCATTCCCTGGGTGAAGCCAGTATTTGGAGAGAGCTAGGTCCTAAGAAAGAAAGCGGAGGAGACCCGTGGCGGGTCAGAACCGAAGGGAAAAAGTCACTAGTAAAACTGCTGTGACGGGCGAGCGTAGGGAATGGGGCACGGGAGGCTGCGCAGGGAGAGGCAGCAGCCGAATTTCCCGTGCGCCGGCATGCAGCGTTTCCAAAAGCCTCGGAAAGCCTGGGAAGTTGGAGAGAGTCAGTGTGTCTGGCCTCGCTCACCCTAAATGATACCAGCTCTGCCCTGGTCWGTGTGCGGTTGCTTTGCTGACAAGCCAAGCTCTGCAACACAGTATGAGGAATGCAATGAAAAGTGCCCCGAGCTGCTCTCCCATCCATCAGCCAAGACTCTCATGGGAATTTGGACGGAATAGGAGGGACAATGTGGAGCACGGGAGATGGAAAATCGAGGGGATAAGGAAAACCAAGCAGGAAGCAGCCATAATAAGGTATTAGTGCCAAATGTCTGCACGTTTGCTGGAGGGTCGTTAATCCCCTTGGAGTGAGACCCACGGGGGCTGCTGCCTCCAAGCACCCCGGGGTGACACACGTGGTGACCCGGCTTGGACAGCTCTTGGGCTGAGCAGGCATCGCCGGGATGTAACTCCCGGAATAATACTAATTAATTCCTGTGTCTGCGCCCTGGAGCTTTCAGTTCCATAATATGCTGTCTCTCAGTGCATATACATTGCATCATATATATATATATACACATACAAGCAGCAGAGAGAAAGGAAGCTGTAAATAGCCTAAATATTTAGCGAAAATTTGATGAAACCCCCTGAAGTTCTGCCCAGCAAGGAGTTTGCCCCCCCGGGACGTGGGAACAACCCCTGTCCCCCCGTTTCTCCCGTCCGCTCGCGAGYGGCCCAAGTTTCGCCCCAGCGACACGGTCCATCCCGGAGGGCCGGGAGCTCCGGGAAGGGGGACGATGAGGGACACAAGATCCACGTCTTTCCCCCCAAAACCCAAACGTTGTTCCCGTCGCGGTGCCCGCCAGGCGACGCGGAGAAGCCGCTTACCCCTGAACGCAGAGGATCATGTCACTCCTGGACCAGGGGAAGAGCATGAAGTCCGTGCGGGCGCGGGGAAGCGCTGCCTCCTCGCCTGCTCCCGCTGCTCCGCCTCGCCGCCTTTTCCCGCCGCTTTGCGCTGGAAGTCGCGGCCGCGGGCAGGGCTCGCAGCAGCCGCCGGGGAAACGCGGCCGCCTGGTTCTGCTTTCCAGCAAACGCGGAGGGGGGGAAGTTAAAAAGACCCCCAGAAAAGGGAAACTACATAAACGTGGAAGAGGAACCGCACTGGCAGTGAGACGGTCTCTTCGGAAAAAAAAAAAAAAAAAGAAAAAGAAAAAGAAAAATATATTTATATATATATATATTCAGAGTAGTCCGAGGTAATAATAAATAGGAATAAATAAGGTCCCCCCCGGAGGAGAGAGGCGGGCGCGGCGTGCGCGGCCGCTGCCTCACGAGCAATGAAGCTGCGAGGGGGAAGGAAGAAAGAGAAGAGAGAGAGAGAGAGAGAGAGAGAGAGAGAGAGAGGAGGGGAAAAAAAAAAAAAAAAGCCACCACCTACTAAGTAATCTTTTGTTTGCCCCTTTTAATCTGTTCCAGGAAGCGAGGGATTCCTGGAATCGTATTGTAGTCACGGCGCTGCGCCGGTATCAGCCCCACACAGGCAGCGAAAAAAAAAAAATTAAAAAAAATAAAAAATAAATAAGAAAAGAGAAGTATAAATAGCGGCGTGCGGCTGGGCGCTGCCGGGCTGCCCCCTCCCCCGGGCGGCCCGCGCGGAGCCGCCGCCGCCGCTGCCGGGCGCGGAGCCGCCTCTCTCATCCATTTCCAAGAACTTTCCAGGAACGCGGAGCCGCCGCCGCCAATGGGCGCAGGCGCCGCGGGCGCGGAGCG